CCCCAAAACCCCAAAACCCCAAAACCCCAAAACCCCTATCAAGATAAATCATTTTATAAATGAAAAAAAAACATCAAGCATATCTATATTTATCAAATTTCTATCTCAATTCCATTTTCTTTTCATCAACCTCATGGATTTTATCCTGATTATAATAACCAATAAGCAATATGCCATTTACTATAATTGCTATAGTCCAGAAAGGATACACCACCTTTTTAACTTTATCTAAAGATTCATCTTATTTTTTTCTAATTTCAGCAATCATAGCCTTTTCATCTTTGTATAATGTGAGAGGGCGCTCGATTGATTCAAGGGCCTTGATATCTTTATTCATTTCTTCAACTAACTGCTTATAATTCATATTTTTTTAAGCAAATACTTCAGCACCCTCTTCAATGTCTTTAAAGATTTCGGTTTGCTCTATTATTCTATTCTTAATACTTTTCTTTATTTTCTACTTATCCCTATACTCTGAAACAAATTTTATTCTTGCTAGATCTCTTCTTGACATTTTTAATCTACTAAGGGGCTTCATTATTTAGTCATGTAGTTCATCAGGTTAATTTAAAATAGGCCTTGCCACGAATTCTTTATATAGCTTGTTGAGATTTAACTTTTTAAAGGCCTCGTCAAATTCAGGATCAATAGTATCTCTAACAGTTTTTTACGCCTCTGCTTATTTTTTCATTTCTTCATACATCTCATGAGAAAATTCTTGACCCATATTCTTATGTCTTCTCTCAGCATCCTAAAAGTCTTTATTATATTTCATAGTCTTTATCTTTTAATGCTTATCATAGTCACCTCTTTTCACTGGGTTCTTGAGAGTGGTATAAGCTTCTTGTATCTTTTTGAAATGATCCTTGTTTGGCCCACTGTGGTAGACATCTGGATGATACTTTTTGGCAAGTTTGAGATATGATTTCTTTATATCTGCCTCAGAAGCTGAGGGGAATATCTCTAAGATCTGGTAATAATCCATTTTACTATAGTCAAAAGCCTTTTCCTTTGGAGCCTATTTAGAAGAGTCTTACATCTTTTCGTCTTCTATCTTTTCTTTACTTACTGTAAAGTATCTCATATTTTAGAAATATAGCTAATTAGATCTTCTTGCGTGTAAAAACTTATCATAAATTTTTCTACCATGAATTAATTATCTTAAAATTATCATTTTACGAAAAAATATTACTATATATTTAATTATGTCTATTATTATCCAGTCTGGGGTTTTGGGGTTTTGGGGTTTTGGGGTTTTGGGG